ACAAGACCTGAAGAGTTGCTGTTAGCCTGGGAGGAGCGTGCGTCTCCTCATTCCCGTTGAGCTTCACACAAAGCAAAGGGCCGGGAACGCATCCTGAGGTCCTGTAGCCAGCATTGGCTTATACCCTTGTAAAACAACCCTTAAGTGTTCTTAAAAAGTCTGATTTATAGCCTCAGGGTACGGTTTCACAGCAGCTTGAACCTTTCTAAACTCAGGCTGTGATTTGGGTGGTCCCTCCTTGGTGTTATTATTAGAGCATTAGCATTGCAGTGGGCTGGACCCAACTGCCTAAAGCCCTTCGCTTTGCTGTTTTTTTCCCCGAGTTGGTCTTCAGTTCTGGTCCTTGATCTTTGTGACTTTGCAGCTGGGAAGGGCCAGTGCTGACGCAGCAGCAGGAGTAGCATGACCAGCCATAACGGAGTGTAGGATTTGCTGAAGTTGGAGACGGTGGAAACTTTACTCATGCTAAACAGTCACCTTTATTTTATCTCAGATTTTGTCTCTTTTTTTTTGTTTTGTTTTGTTTTGTTTGGTAGGGGAGGGGAAACAGACCTGCCAATATTGTTGGAGCTGCTGGTGTTACTGTGTTTTGCCTAATGCCTTTATTTTATTTTTTTTAAAGGGAGAAACTTTTTCTTTGAAACTAGAGGCTCTTGGACTTAGCGACACAATGTAATATTTATTTACTTATGAAAGGCTGTCAGTGTTGTTCCAGACATGTAGTTCACATGTTCAACTTGAGTCTATTGCAAAGGAATCACTAATGCTGACTGTAACAGGTTTTTTGGGAAAGTAAGTAAAAGTGTTGGTAAAGGACTCTGTAAAGAAAACATGTCAACACTTAGCGTTGTCACAACAAGCATAAATGAGAGCCTGTGCATTCTGCAACTCTTACAGTTTTTATTCCAACTTTCAGAGTATCTTCTTTTATTTTTAGATGAATCTGCGTTCTGTATTTACTGTAGAACAACAAAGGATATTACAGCGTTATTATGAAAATGGAATGACAAATCAAAGTAAAAATTGCTTTCAGCTCATATTACAGTGTGCACAAGAAACTAAACTGGACTTCAGTGTAGTCAGGGTAAGTACTGAGGCCTTCCAAATTTGTATGTTAAAGCTATACACATTCATTTCTTTACGTAAAATATCTGTAGAGGACTGGAGTCTCTAACTTCATACTTGTCTTAAATCAGACTTCAGTACACGTGTGTGACGTTCATTTTTATCCAGTGAGCCTGTATATAGTTTGTTTTCGCTGAAATGTCTTCACATTGCTGTATTTAGCAGGGGCCTGGATTGCACAAGGAGTGATTTTTTTGTTTGTTTGGTTGGTTTGGTTTGGTTTTTTGGTTGTTGTTTGTCTTTTGTTGATGGTGTTTTGGTTTGGGTTTTGGTTTTTTTTTTTTCTTATTTATTAAATTGCAAATTAGATTGCCCTATAGAAACCTTGTGCAATGTATTGTATCAAAGAAAGCTCCTGTTATTAGGAAATTATTCTTAAGTTAAACAAATTTCTATCACCTAATGTATTTGGGGGAATAATTGTGGAAGTATTTCTTTTGACACACTCTGTCACACTTGTCTTTCATGTCACAATCACAAATATTGTGGTCCCTCGTGGTTATTTACAGTGAGTACATTCTTTTCTTATAAAAGAAGAATGTCACTAGTGCTAACAGGAGCTCTTCCAAAGTCTATGAATTCCATGGGAAGGGAATTAATAATCCCTTTGTGAAACAGTAGACAACAAAATGGCTGTTGTCTCAGAGCAGAAATAGAAATGAAGCATTAGCTGAAAAAAATAACAACGGTAGTGGAGGTACCAGGAGTTGCTGCAACACTGGACACTGAAGAGGAAGAAGTAAGACCAGTCTAGGGTTTTTTAAGTGGTGTACCAGTGGTATATTGACAATAACAACCCCTCCTGCTCCCTAGTTCTTACCTGGATTCCCCTCCCTCAAAATACTCTGGAAATATGAAAACTTACTTTCTCAGCTCTAGGTGGTGGGAAGTTCTGAAAGTCAGCCAGACATTCAGACTCCCTGGAACAGACAAACAGTTGTAACAGGAATCTGGATGCTGATGATGCAGTCAGGGCCTATTTTTCTATTTTTATTCTTATTGAAGGACCTAGAGGAAGCAGCCAGTCTCTCCTCTACTTGCAGTCCTCATTCGCTCTCCATCTTTGTATTTTCCTTTCCCTCTCCGTTTCCCTTACGGCAGTAATGTATCATGACCTTTTTACTTTAGTTTTCTTCCCTTACTAAGCCTTTAGTTGCAATACTTAAACTTTCTTCCTGCTTGTGAAGTGCAATGGAAACAGACCCAGCGTTGGTCCTGCATTTGTCATATTTCTCTATGATCTTAGCTTTCTCTTCTTTGCACCCCTCCTTTCTGCCTCTCCTAATACCCTCCTTTTTTCTTTTTTCTTTTTTTTCCCCCTATAAAACTCTTGGACAGAGATTAGTACTTCTTTGCACAATGTCTAGCTAAATGATGGTTGGGTTGCAGCTGGCACTTCTGGATATGACTATAATAGGAACATGAATTCCCTAAATGTAACTGTTATAATTTTAATGTCATAACTATGAATATATTCGTTCTCTTGAGTCAGGATTTCTATAGCCTTGTCCCATAGAACTACATCCCGTTTTTCCAATCTTGAGCTGCGGTGGAAAAAAGAAAAGACCTATTTATGATTTGATGTAAACCTCTACAGATTATATTACTGCAATACATAGAAATATGTTCTCCTTTTCAAAATTAGGAAATGTGGTAGAGCTCCTGGGGAAAAAACCTTGTCCCTCTTCCAGTTTGAGAGATGTATTCTAGCTATGGCAGGTTTGAACGGCCTGGTTTTGTTCATTAATATTGGCATACTTCTGTTGGGTTTTTTTTGTCTTTACATGAAATGTGAGCGACATGACTTGATAAAGTGCAGAAGTTCTCTGAGTCTCGATTTTCTCAGTACCACTGAGTGCTGGGAGCACTGATCAGGGAGGTGGTGTGGGGTTCTCCCCATAGTACAACAGCAGAGGTCAGAACACCTGCAGCTTCATTATTCTTTTACACCTCTTGATAGATTTCCTGAGGACACTTTATTTTCAGGTTTAGGGTGGGACTTCTGGTCAAAACCAATGGCCAAGCACCACTGACAGTCGCTCTGTGGTGTGTATCTGGATTGTGGGACAGTCTGAGGTTCCAGCTCTGCCTGATTCAACCCGGGAATATAAAATCAGGGTCTCAAATCCCAGGTAAATTCTTAGCATCTGCATTTTTGATTTGTCATCTCTTCTGAGAGCTTCTTCTCATCCTAAATAAAAGTTAAGAATTTCAGTAATGCTTCCATTGTTAGTGAAAGTGCTCCCCAGACTTCCCAGCTGGGGAGCTTGATTGAAACAAAGATTCGTGGCCCTTTTCTTAGGGTATTTTGTATTTAATAGCTGACTCCCAAATTAATACCATAACCATCAAGCTAGTAAGAATGTGGAGCTTCCCTTTCAGTCTAAGGGTGTAATTTCACATAATTCTTCTCTGGGATAATGTCTCACAGTGCTAAAAATGGGTGGTTTTGTACTCTTTCGCTTCTCCCAGCTGTGCAATTCTTTCTGTCCTTCTCTCTTTCTTTCTTCTTGTGCTGATCATCTCTCACGTTTATTCAGAGGAACCAAGTTCAATTTGCTAACCTCACCAAAACTTTTGTCCTTTTTTTTTCTGGTTTTCTTTTTTTTGCCAGTTCACACTCATTGATCCTTCAGGTGGGTGCTTTTGGTTAAACGGTGGGAGTAAGAAGCTGGGGACGTGATCAGGAGAATGGGACTTTTCCAGCAGTGGCAAACCTAACTTGGGCTGTCTCATGAAACTGAACTGTAATCCCAAGTGAACAGTAGTGCTAGTAAGCTATTTGCATTTCTCTGAATGCATTTCTTTTCAGGAAAACCATGAGAAAAACTTCAGATTTTAGTATTATACAGTTGGAGAAGTTGGGGGTGAAATCTCTTTTTCCTGGCCCCAAATTCGCAGTGTCTCTAGTTATAATTTCTATCTTGAAAGTTCACTGACTGAGCAGAAATTACAAAAAAATAAATTTGATCTTCTAAATTTGTTTTATGCAATAAAGGAAAGTAACTTGAGACCTGTGGCTATAATTTGTGTATTTAAACTTGCTTTTCACAAGAAAAAAACTATCACTAGTAACAGACTCTACTGTGTGCAATAATTCATGCCTCAAAATAGGCATTTTGTCAATTTGACAACAAAAATGAGTAGAATGCAATAGAGACTTCAGCATACTTCTGTATGGCAGGGATGTGTGTTTTCCTGTAGAGAAATCTGTTCACTTCCTGAGCAGGTATCGGTATGTGAAGAAAACTTTCCTTTTTTCACGTGATGAGATGGAAAGCCAATAGGTACTCAGTGCAGTTTGCTGCTTGTGGGGTGAGGAAGTTTATTGATTAAATCCACTGGTTTGGGTTGCTGAATGTTGAGATCTTGCTTTGGTTTGGTTTTAGGTGTGCAGCAGGTGATAGCCAGAGCGGTGTAGAAAACTGTTTCACCGTATTTCTATGTGCATATCTGATCCTTTTCACAACCAGCACAAGCAGATGCAGAAGCTTATTTTTCGTTCTTTGGCACTTGTATCCTGCTCGCTTATGCCCTCGCATCCAGTACAGACATACTGTGGAGAAAGAATTGAGCAAGTCTTGTCTCTGATCATGACAATTGCCAGGAATAGTTAGGTGGTGCTTACGCTTCCAGTGTTAGAGCTGATGCTTCCACCAGATTAACTCTCTTTATCTTGAAATACTGAAGTTAATGTTTCCCCTTCAGTTCTTTTAGCTGTAGCTTAATGTGTTACTTGCAGGACAGGCTTTCCTGCATGTTTAAAACAGCAGTACATTTTAACCTGTGCACAGCTGCATTTTTCGAATATTTTTTCTCTCTACTGTCTTTTACACAAAACCATATACTGTCATTGTCACCTTCGGAAGTGTCCATAATAGCAAGCTTCTGTTGGAGTCTAATCCTGGTAGTCCTAATCTTTCTATCAGTGTCTTTCAAAAGCAGGTTTTGACATCAGATCTTGCTTTGTGCAGCTGGCAGAGGAGACATTAGTCCATAGATCTAAATACTTGACAAAATTATTTTGTAACTGTCTAACAGAAGGAGTTCTTCTTTTTTCTTCCTCTCTTCTAAATTCAAGAATTGGCAGTTTCTGTTCAAGGCAGTTTTGAAGGTCTTATCTCTCAGGTATTTCATTACAAAAGTTTAGCTGCGTACCTCAGTAATGGTTCTGCCTCCCAAAGTGCTAAATATTAAAAACTTAAATTTGGGAGAATTAGTCACAGCAGTGTCAATGAAATAAATCTTAAGGGTGACTACGGGACAGGAGGCACGATACAGTCTCAGGATTTTTGAGAAACCGGGGCTTTGGAATTGAGACTGGGGTTCTCATGTGTATTAGTGTATGAATCCCAAGCACGAGACACATGGATTTCCACCCTGTATTGTTCAGACTCTGCATAACCAGTAAACGATTTACATATTTGTAAACTTAGGTCTCAACTTGAACACGTAACATTTCATCAGATCTGCTTAAAAATGGAATTGCCTAATTTTTCTGCTTGCTTAATGCTTTGTTTTGTGTTTGTTGTCATTGTTGTTTGTTGTTTGCAGACGTGGGTTGGCAATAAACGAAGGAAGATGAGCAGCAAGAGTGCTGTAGAATCTGGAGGCACTCCCCCAGGGATTGTCCCTACTACTCCTTCAGTACCTTCAGAAGCAGCAGTTAGAAATGTGGTAAATATTGCTCGATCCCAAAGCCAGCAGTCTTCTTGGACCTCTTCTAATAACGATGTAATAGTTACTGGTATATACAGTCCTGCTAGTTCATCCGGTAGGCAAGGATCCACCAAACAGACGAACGCTTCAGTGACAGAAATACATAAAACCTCTATTCCGCGACTACCAGGAAAAAGCGATACAGAGTTTCAGCAGCAGCACATCCCTATCGGACGACAAGTACCACATTGTAAAAATGCTTCCCTATTGGTAGGGGAAAAGACTATTATTTTATCTAGGCAAACAAGCGTACTGAATTCTGCGAACTCCATATATAGTCACACGAAAAAAAGCTATGGTGGTTCGTCAGTCCAGACCGCGGAGTTGGTGTTACCTCAGAAACCGATGATATGCCACAGACCCTGTAAAGCTGAGCCCGTGGGATGTCAGAGGTTACAAAAACCGGAACATGCAGCTCTCGTATCGCATGTGCCCCCTGGACAAAGGGCTAATACCAGGGACCCTTCTTGTAGCACGCAAAACCTGGAAATCCGCGAGGTGTTTTCTCTGGCGGTTACAGATCAACCACAAAGAATTGTGGGAGGAAGCGCAGCGCAGAAGCATTGCTCGGTGGAAGGCAGCTGTCTGTCCATCGCGATGGAAACTGGAGACGTGGTTGACGAATACGCTAGAGAAGAAGAACTAGCATCCATGGGAGCACAAATACAAAGCTATTCAAGATACTGTGAAAGCAGTAGTTCTGCTCGAGTAGAGAACCAAAGCGCAGCCTTGTCTGGGCCAGGAAGAAATGTGAGCTGTAGTTCACAGATGGTGAATGCCAGGGACGTGCCTGACAGTATTCTGTATCATAACAGAGACTACCACTTGCCTGCACGGACCTCATTGCATACAACATCCAGTACATTATATAACAGTGCTAATCCATCAAGAAGTACCTTTTCTCCTCATTTTACATCTTCAAGTCAACTGAGGCTGTCACAAAACCAAAATAATTACCAGGTAATCCGTCAGTTTATCTCTGTCTTCAAACCTTGAAGACGAGGTTGTAGACAAGTACTGTTTTCTTTGAAAGTTGGTAGCTGGTACGCGATCGGTTCACCTTTCTGCAGGCTGTGCTCCATTTACCTCTTTCAGTAGAGAGAATTCCTTCTGAAACAAGCGTGCAGGTAAGACTGTAGTATGGTAGCACTCTTACCCGTATAGCTGAGCTGTGGCTGCAGCGGGTAGCCGTATATTAAAGATCAGTGTGGGCTTCATAGGTTCAATAGCTACATTTTGGCTACAAGAGGACCGTACCTACGACCGCTGATGCATGCTCAAGTCTGCGTCGTCCTGACGTGGCTTGCCAGCGCATGTCACGGCGATACCCTCGGTTGTTCCTCTGTAGGCGTACTTCGTGTGTGGCACAGGGCAGAACATGGGACCATGCCGTCGTTCGTGTGCTCTGCAGTTGCTTGCCCTTATTAATGTCCGCTGGGATGAGCTCTTCTGTCAGCACTGCCTGTACCCCCCCTGCAGTTGCCAATCTCTTGGACCTGTTTTCTGTTAGGGATTAGGATCTCCTGTGAGGTAGGTAAGATGATGGGAGACACTAAGTGAGCAAATATTCTTCCTCTCCCACAGCATCCAATTCAAATATCGGGTTTAGATTCAATCTCTTTATTTCCTCATCCTGTAATAGAGTCCCTTCAGTGATACTGAGAGGGGAAAATTAAATGCAGATAATTGAAGAACTGAAAGATGTTCAGAAGAAGCTACGACACTGACACGCTTACTTTTTTTTATTTTTTGTTATAGCTAGAGGAGGGATAGTAGTGCAGGAAACATACAAACTGATTTTTTTCATGGATTTTTATGCCCTCAGGCATGACATAGTCTAGAGACACTGAGATAAGTCTTAAGACTGACAGGATGTGAATCTGTGTGTGTTACCTTTGTGCATTTGCCTTTTTAATTTATCCTGAAAGTGAACCAGGTAAACAGCATACCATCTTTTCTTGTGCATTGCTCGCTAGTATAGGGAACAATACTTTGTGAAGCTTTTTTTTTTCTTTCTTTCTTTTTTCTGACTTGTTCCTCTCTCCTGTGAGGAGTTGAAAGAAAGCTTTTGAGTCCAAGTAAGTGCCGCTTTTCACCAGAATTATTGCTTTTCCTGATAAACCTGAGGTTCGAGGAGCATGCATACTCTGGAGTCGATTCTATGTAGTAGATGGGACATCTGCAGTTCTTATTTATGGGCTTTTCTAAGCTGAGCACTTCAGATGAGCTGTTCTTTCCCTTTCTCCCTTCTCTCAGCTAGTCTGTCAGTATTTGCTATTACTGTTCTTACTTGAGTTATAAAATTCATTAAATGCTGTTTACTTCTGACATCCCAGTTTCACAGGAGAAGGAAAGCTGTAAATGTGCACATCTGTTCCATAAAGGGCTGGTAAAGCTGCAAAAGTGCATACGGTAGAGTTAAGGAAAACATCTTAAGTTTCATGAAGTGAAATATATTATTGATACCTCCAGCTGTGTGCTCTTGGTACTTTATTTCACTCTTGAAAAAGCATCAGTGAGATTTATTTCTTAGTACTTCTTTGAATTTTTAAATGAAACTTGAAATAACTTTGATTTGGGATTTTTTGGGGGTAGGGGCAGAGTCTTTTTAAACAGCTAGAACAGTTCATGGTAGGTGACGCTTCATCTGTCCATGTGGTGTGATATGGATCAGAACAAGGAGATCTCTGTAACTTTGTTTTGGTTTTTCTTTTTTTTTCCCCTTGTTACAATAACATACCTATTTTTTTTTTTGTAAGTGAGGAATTCATCTGTACCCTGTTTGACTTCCATGCCTGTCTCAAGAGACCCTGTTCTTTGGATTTGGGAATGCACCTTGGATTGAGGGAGCTTCTGTTTCCTGTGGTATTCCTTGCCCTTCCACAGTTTTAAAGCTTGGAAAACCTGGACAGGTTGCTATTAATTCACTTATTGCTGTATTCATGCTGTGAACCTCTGAGATGACGCTTGTCAGTATTGGAGAATTTCTAAGGGAAGGCAGAAGCTGTGGGGTCAGTGCATCATGGCTCTGTGGAAGCCGCAGAGCAGTAGTGTCCTACAGCCTGGCCAGGTGCCGTAGCACCTTGAAGAAGTGACGGTGCTGATTTGTCCAGATCACTGCGTTCCTTGCTGAGAGTTTTTAGCGCGTTCCAGAACAATGGAGAAATAAGTTCTGTGTCTTAAGAGGTGTTAGTGTATGGCAGTGACACTTCCAACACTCGTTTATCACGTTGACAAGAAAAAGTCACTTACTGCCTTCAAAGTCATGTGTAACAAAGTGTACCCAGCTAGGCTGATAATGTATTTTGTCAAAATAATCGGTTCTGCACTATTTTAGCCCCCTCCTACCAGTCCTCCCTTTAAAATTAAGTCCAGTATGACTGCTATTTCACGTAGACACTCGCTTTATGTCTTAATAATATTTATATATTGAACTTCCAGGGGCACAGATTTTATAACAGGTGCTGTCTGAATTCTTCTAGACTTCTGCAGGATGACACTTCTTTTGTGCGTGGTCAGTTTCTGTTAATTTTATTGCCTGCGTTTAGCTAATTTATCCATCAGCATAGGAAAGAAAATCCTTAAACTTAGGGAAATCTTCCTAAATTTAATTTTGTTGCCTGTGTTTAGCTAATTTATCCATCAGCATAGGAATGAAAATCCTTAAAATTAGGGAAATCTTCCTAAATTTAAAAATAGATTAAACCTGAGCTACATGATTATTGGAGTAGTTAAACATCCAAGCAGATGCTTCAAAGTCAGGACTGTGTGATTTGTGTTTTGATGGAGTAATTACTGTCGTATATTGGTGCGGTATCTAATTACCAATTAGTTATAGCTTCCTTACTGGTTCAATTAATCAAATTCATGTTAGTGTAACTTAAGAGTAAATTTAATAAAGTGATCAATTTTAATGCCTGAGCAGTTTCAGTAAACAAATTGTTCAACCTACTTACTTTTCTTATTTTGGCTTTAAGCGTATTGAACTAGAGAGGCTATTCTTGCTGGTCCTCAAGGCTGAATCGTGATTTAGTCTTGGTTTCCTCCCCCCCCCAACCCTAAGGGACAAAAATACTGTTGAAAGTATGTGTATTTTTAATTACTCTGTTAGACACACTGAAGCACAGTTTTGTGTTGAGCTCTGTCTTCTTCAAGGGAAAATCCTAAGCCTTGCAGCCAGTAGTACATCAGAATAGGATATAGATGTAATATATATTTATTTATTTTTAAGATTCACTTTAAGGATGCTGCTTTATATGAATGAGCTGCAAGTTTGCTTTATTTAAGGAAATGGGACTTTTTTCTTTTTTTTTTAAAAATGTGTCAAAGTGATTTGGTTACTTCCCTACAGACTTTTGAAGGCAAGAGGAGGACTTTCTTGCTGCTTTGGGCAGCACAGCTTTTTGCTAGGGCAAGCAACATGGTCTTCTCTGAAGAGACTTGACCAAAGTGTTTCCTGGCACTCATTCGTCTAACAGAAGCAGAGTTACCTTTCTCACAGGAGTTCCTCCGCTTTATTTCTGGGCTGAAGTACTTCCAGCCGCGTGAGCGGGGAGAACCTGTGGAGCTCTGGGGAGGGCAGCAGCTGTGAGCAGGCAACAAAACCACTGTGTATGGGCTCAAGTAATGCTGGGGCACAGCACCCAGCACTGGGTTGGGGCTCTTGGTTTGTTCCAGTGCACTGAATTTGGGGCTGTAAATCTACAGGTGAATTGGGAAAAGATTACGTAGGGGCCTCATACGGTGTAACCGCTTTAATTATGGTACAGCATTGGCAATACGCAAGCGTTGCAGTACCTCTAAACTTTCTCTAGCGTCTGCCAGAGTTGCCATTTCTGAGACAAGCATTTCAGGTTGTCATTTTTGCAACTCACGGTAGCTGTCCCAGTTGGACTAGGACTAGGGTTACACCTGTGGGTGCAGGATAGCTATGCATTTCACTCAGAAAAGAACCCCCCCTCAAAAAAAACCCCAACCCTTGTGCCTTTTTCATAGAGCCAGTTTAGAATACTCCCATGCATGTTGTCTTCCAAGTAGTTGTATGGAGATAAACTTGATTGTATTTGGCATCTTACCTGTCAGAACTCGTGTGCATTTGTCTTCCAAGTAACCATTAGTGCTCTGCCAGACTGATTGCTTTATTCACCTAGAAAAGCACTTTTTTTCCTGTAGCCCCACTTCAAGTTTGTGAAGAGAAGCCATCTGGGTGGATACCAAGGACGCGTTTACAGCGGATTCTGTGGTGTGAAGCTGTTGTGTGGGATATAGAATTGTAATAGACGTAACTGGCTTATACAGAATTTCTAAAATGCCTGTGTGCAACTAAGAAATTAATATTTTAGACAGAAAAGCTGATGCAGACTTGCCCTTAGGAGGGGAGGGTGTTCATTTCTAGCCCCCCTCAACTCGCCTTGTGCCGTAATGAGAAAGTGTCTGACCTTAGGTACCCTCCAAGCGCTTCCAGCTAAAAGCTTGAGGAATAAAACTCTCTTATGTGCGTGTACACTAGACAAACTGTCCCAGGTATTCCATATTTGGTAATGCTCATGCTGCAAGATTCATTAGTAGAGCGCTTCGCAAATACAAAAACTATTAGCGTGGTTTGATACAGTCAGCAGAAGCGTGTAGATAATTTTTCCTCACATATGTGGTGTGTGTAATGACTTGAGATTGATTAATCTCTCAAGAGCTATGTTTAGTCTCTCAAGCATTGCTTGTCTGCAGCAGAAGATGGACATGGAATCCTAAATAAGCCTAAAATATTCCAGGCTATGACACATTTCAGATGGCCAGGGAAAACAGCCCAAGATGATTATTTAATAAAGTCTGACCTCTGGGAATGATGGAGAGGCAATGGGAATCAAGGCAGCTAACCTTTGCCTTCATAGCCCTTCCCCTTCCTTCTCCGACCTGATGTCCCTAGTTTTTCTGCTGATATGCAAATCTTCAACATCTGATATCGAATAGCTCAGTTACTAACGTGATAGTAGTTTTTTCTGAAAGTTTAACTGATGTAATTGAAAAACACGTGACGGCAGTTGGCCCTTGTCTAACTCCAGTCTGCTTAATCTTACCAGTTTTGTGACAGATTGAAAGCGAAAACTTGTGTTCTGAAATAGAAATTTTGATAGCAAAAGTACAGAAACGCCCAAGTTGCCATCGTGTTACGTTACCCTCACCCAAAGAAACAGAGTTTTGGTTTTAGTCTTATAACAGCAAGGCTAAGTGTGACTTTGTTTTGCTTTTAAATCTTAACCTGTTTTAAAGACGTTCTTATCAGAATTGAGTGCACAATATTGAAGTCTTGTGAAAGCTGCTCAGTACTAGCTCTCATAGCAACCTAAGCTGTTGTTGTTTTCTGTTTTGTTTCCTCCTTCCCCCCTACAGATTTCAGGAAGCCTTACTGTGCCTTGGATTACAGGTTGTTCCAGAAAAAGAGCAGTAAGTATATTTCCATTTCAGTATCTAATGCATCAAGTGAAGGAACGAAACGTTTATAACAATGCCTTTTTGAAAATGTCGGTTCTGTTTACCTTCTGCGGGGTTTTTTCCCTTTATACTTTGACTAATACAAACATTATCTGCAGATACAATGTTTCAGCTAGCAAAGTTGATGTATCTTTTTAAAAGTAGGTCAAGGTCATAATCCTGTGTTAAGTAATGTGATGCCCAGGTGTATGAATTGTGCTGGTAGCTGAAATACGACGTCTGAAATGATAAGGACTGAGAGTCTAGAGCTCAGAATACGCTTTTTATATTGAAAGTGAAATGGTTGTTAACTGAGGCAACTGAATGCTTAGGAGAGTAACTCCCTCTTCAGCTACACTGCACATGCACAGAATTAGTCCATCCTATCTGTAGTAACTTTATCAAGTCTAATTTTATCCACATATATGTCATTTCACATTAGGCAGAATCAGCCAGGTTGGTGTCCTCAATTCACAAGCGACTCCAAACCATAACACAAGGTATGAAACAGCTTTTATCAGGAAAATACCTCCATCCAACTCTTTTGATTACTGCTCAGCATTTCCGTTCAAGAGTAGTCTGCTAGCTTCTCTTTGAAGGGCATGTCGATTCTGCTTGCTTACTGTGAAAATACACCCTAAACCTGCAGGTTGGATGGTACAACCAAGCTTTCAAGAGGCTGTTACGTATTAGTCCAGCTATATCAGAAGCAATAACTAGGGAGATGGCTGTCATGATGACCAAACGTATCCCACCAAACCCCGCAAAGCACTGAGCGGTCAGTGTCATGTGTGCTGCTTTGGCAATGATGTCTAGGTAGTGGAAGAATCTTTCCTTGCCGCCTTCTCCCTGTACTGTTTTCTTCTTTTATTATTTTTGGTTCTGCTGCTTAGTCTTCAAAAGGTGTGAGTTTGGTAGCATCTCCTGTATAAGTAGGAATCTAAGGACCATCACATTAATTGTTTTTTCTCTCAGACTTTTGCTAGGTTTCGACTGTAGCACGCTTCTAGTTTCTGCAGAGACTTTGGTAGTATCACTTCTATTTATACAGAGAGCACTTTATAAGAACATCTCCCAGAGGAGCCAGTACTTTTATACAAATCCTATTGTTGCTCATTCCATCTTTTTTTTTAATCTTTTTTCCTAAGTCCTAGTTCTCTTGAGTAGGGTTTTTTAAATGTAGCCCTTTTCTGGAAGGCACCCTCCCTCTACCGCTTAATGACCTTTTAAAACATCAAGCAGCTGGTGAGTGTCCTAGAGTACAGTTTCACTTTTGACTGAGCTGATTTCACAGCACATCACTGTTGAAAGGGGGAGGTTTTTTCCCCCCCTCTCCCTACTGGTGCACTGCCACCCCATCCGCAGCACTGGTGCTAGTGTCAGATGGCAAGGTAATCCCGGTCAAGTGTCTGATCTGTCAGACACATATTCTTCTGCTGCATTTGTCTTTCTGCTGTCTTTAGTGAGTTGGATGTAGGGATCGGATGAGTGCCAGAGCCAGCTCAAAGTAGGCAGCAGGAGCACGTGGCTGGGAGCAATGAAGAGAGTGGGGCAGAGGGGCATAGACGGGTTGCTGAGGCATGGTGGTCCTGCTAGATATCTGGCACAGGCTGTAGAAGACATTTCTGCAGTAAGTTTTAAACCTTCAAGGATGTGGAAATGCCTCTTTATTAAGGATGGTCATTAGGGATTTCTTTTTTCCTTAGATCTTTACTCCTGTGTCTTTTTTAATCAATAAAATGCATAACCCCCCTTGGTTAATACAGTCCAGTTTGACAACATCTGTTTCCAGATTTGTGGATGTACTTTCTCCAATGTGACTGCATAATTAGCCTGCTTAAGGAGACAAGTTTAGGAGTTGGCACTCTAAAACTGCTATGTACACACAGGTGTAAGACAACAAAAAGAGAGAAAAAGCTCCTACTTCCTAGGAAACTTCAGTTCAAATGTGAAATTCTTTTCAAGAAAGAGCGTGAGGGAACAGAAATAGAATGGATAGATTTGTAGAACAGCGATTATGGCAATTACTGCCATTCAAACAGTAAAAAGGCTAATCTATTTTGTTTAAAATGGAGAAGATCGTCTTTTAGATGCTCTGAATTTTTAATCTTTTGCCTTGATGTTTTGTTTTCCTTGCCCTGTCCTTCAACTGCATCAAGAGAGCAATAAAACTGTGCAGTTCTGCAGAAACCCTTTCTAGTCTGCTCAGCTATGCTGTAAGGTGACGTAATCCTGACTGCTAATGAATATTAGTCTAGAAATGTCACCCTCTCAGTTATTCATGAGAATGTCTTTGGAAATTAGGGAGTTCTGTATTCTGTCATGGTGTGTGTGCAATGCATTGGCCTTTACGAATGCACTGATTTTTTGGTTTTTCACAGGGTGGTGGAAGGATAACAAATATTCAAAAATAGGAATGAAGATAGCCGAAACCAGGACACTGGTTAAAGAGAATTAAAAGGGGGAAAAACATCTTCACTTTTGTCATTGCATTTAAGTCTTGAGTGTACTAACTGTGCTTAAGTCATGTGTCATCTGATGTCTTAGCAGAATGGCTGGTGTTTATAGTACCTATAACTTAGTATGCTAACTATGAAAAACATTGTCACAGAGGTGTTGACTCTGGGTAAGCTGTGCCTGGCTTAGCTGTGGAGTTTTATTTTTTGAGGAGAGCGGGGATTTGGCTTTGGTTCTCTTTTTTTCCTTTTTTTTAATTTGCAATTAGAAATAGTGTTAGTGGTCTTAATATCAAGTCTGAAACACAAAGTCATTAAGATAACAGGTTAAGGTCTTAAAATTATTTCTGCCCATCACCCTTCAGAAGCAGACATGGGAAATCCACGGTATGTAGCCTGTGTATTTTGGATGGGATTTTAAGTTCTCTTTCCTGTTAATGTCTGGGCTAGTTCTTGTGAGGTTTCAAGGGAACGCTGCCCTCAGTGGAGAAACTCGGAGGGGAGCTGGTCTTGCATTTTCCACCCACCTGGTGCAACAACACTGCATTGTAGTGAGGGCTTTGATACCTTCTTGGGTAGCGTACTTCTGCACTGTGGTGGAACCTCTACTGCAGGTAGGTTAGCTGAACCTGCCTGGAGCTTCAGCTTGGGGTCTCTGGCCTCTCAGTCTGGCATATATATTTTGGGAGAAAATATCTGAAATAAGTGGAGTGCTCCTGTTCCAGATTTTGATTTTTTTAAATTGCTCTTTCAACGTTGCCTATTTCAATAAAATTCTGGAGATTGTGGCATTAAAGTGCTCCTCTGAGTCCTGCCTGTCACAGAAGGAGTACAGTAGATGTACTTTGAACCAGCTAAAGGAGCTGATCTAACCCCAGGTCGGTGTGAGACCTGGCACATCTGTGGGCACGGGGAAGGCAGCTGGATTGTGTGGCCCGGACTAGGTGGGGGAGATACATCAGTATAACTACTAAAGAAAATACCTCACTGGACTGTGGTCTAAAAATTGTATGAAAACTGTCTGCTGCCACAGTAAGCCTACATGCGCTGGAGAAAAAGATGTTTAGAGCAGTTTTTAAAGTAAAAAGAGCACCCATAGGGATGAAACCTACCTAAAGTCAAACGGCACTTCAGTGGTGCCTTTTGTTTTAAAGCTATACTAATATTAACTTGCGAAGTTCCTTTCACCTATTCACGTTCCTCTCCTCTCCTAGAAGAGCAGAGGGATGAAAACTGTATTTTAGTTAAGTTGGTTAGAGCATGTCTGAGTAAGAAAGTCAGAGTATTCAGCAAGAGAGACTGGCAAGCCAACCTGAAGATCTCCACAGGACTGAATTGTGAATGCTGTCCTTGTGCGTACCTTTTCTTCCATGTAATTTGGATAACCGGTTAATGGTTTTCCTCCTGTGAAATATTTCACCACATATCTCAAGGTATTTCACTTTGTTAATGTTTACATGAGATGATAATAACATGCGTAGTGTGTCGTGACCTTCTCGCTGTGAACAGCACCTCTTCACTACTGCCAACACCAATCCTTCAGTTAATGCAAAGGGAAGGCAAGTCTTATCATTGTTTCAGACAAAATACATCTTTTTATTATATGGCACGCTGCACCAAAGTTTCACAGATCACCTAGGCTTATCGTAGGCTGTGATCCTGCAGGCTGGAAGGAACGTCCTATCTGGGCAGGAATGGGAAAAGTAGGCTTTCTAGTCAAATATGAGGAAGACGTTAATAGATTAAGTAAGAATCATGATAATTAGTTTCTAAAAATCAGTTTACTTAGAGGCTGGACGTTCACTATTTAACAAACTAGTTCAAAATCTCAGGGTGAGTTGTCAATTTGTGTGGAGCGGAGGTAGGTGTTAGAAATTGTGGAGTAAGATGACTGGAGTTTAGTGTGTAATTTTTGGCTAGGCTATTCTATTGCACTGATCTCTCTCTTTTTTTTTTCTCTCTTTTTTCTTATTCTTAGCTGTGTTTGGTTTAGAAACATATTAACAGAATATATGTCATTTTGGCTGAGTGTTGAAGCAGTTACAGCTCTTTTCCAGCTGTGGTACTATGAAATATTTATCAGTCCTCCTTCCATCAGAGCAAACTTCAAGCTTACCCAACCAGTGGGAAAAGATGCAAAAAGTCTCTCTTCCAGAGATCCAGCAGTCTGTGCACTAGCAGTATGTTAGCAGTAATAGTTTAAGGGTGCCTTCAGATGCCGTTTGGCTTGCAGCCCCTTTCCAAACACCTTTTTGCCTGAAGGCTGTGCAGCTTGCTGCTCTATTTTCTGCTCTATGAATGAAGCTGGCAGAAGCAACTCACTCCTAACCATTTGCTTTGCTAGGGGCCTTCAGGTACATTTCTGCGTCCCAAGGAGAGTGAAGGTACCTTGTGATGGGTACTTACCTGCTCATGTGATGAGAAGGGAACTGTCAAGACTTGGGGAAAGGCAGTCTCCAGATACAGCTCTCTGAATCGCTCCAGTAGTTATAGCTACCAGCTGCCTTTTATTTTTTT